ACTACTTCTTAGTTAACACAATGGCGTCTCTTGGAAACAAGTATGTAAAAAGAGCTACTCTAACTGAGAAAAAGCGCCGAAGTTGGAATGCTTTAGAAAAACTTGCAATCATTTTATATTGATGAATAATAAATGTTTATACTGTTATTGTACGATAAACTATTGGGACTATTTGTTACGGTCCCAAGTTGTTAATCGCATTACTCAATCCTCATACTTTTACCAGCCGAAACTAGTTACAAATTGGTCTTAGAGTTGGGTATGGTATGAAGGTGACCGCGGATCCTAGCAGATTCTAACAATCGTCAACCTTGTCTTTGTTCTATAATAGACCAAGGATGAGTTATACGGATCATCGGTACGTATCAAGAATGGTGGGAGTGATATTCAATTGCTTTGTCATTATGTGATATTCTCAAAACTAATAAATAGTTGTCTTTACCCTTATTTTTCTTTTCCTGTTTCTCTTCCACTAGTACTCACAGTCCATCCCACCCATTTACATACCCTCTTAAATTGGCATCGGGCTTCCTGACGTGCATGTGTGGTGCGGCAGTATAAAAGCATTGCGGGACATAGTATAAAGATGTTCTATCAACTCTATCAATATGGCGTAATAGTACGTCGTTACTATATTGACTCGTGAATGATTTCCTTGAAGATCGCTTACCTAAGGCAACACCATATCTAGCTACCCGATCAGCTTGTCGACAAGTCAGCTTCGCTCAGCGCCTCTACCGAGAAGTTCATCAGTCAACTCCGCTCGTCGTGTCATACAGTCTAACGCGCATACACACCACACAAAGGGCCACGGTCAAATTAGTAGACGAGCATTTTATAACAAGAAATAAAGCTGATTGTTGTAGCGTTGATGCTACTGCCCATTACAGTTACGATCTCGCACAAATGTTCACGTTCCGCATTCTGATCAACAGGTAATAGTAATTGTATGGTATAATAGACAAAGGGAGCACATGAATTAGAGAGCATTACAAACCAGCTACTTTTGAACAAGTTAAAGAAATTAATGAAGCACAAACATAGCTCTTTAACTAAATGTTCAATCTGTTACTAACAATCCTGTAATGTCATCAGTCACTTTTGGGTTTTCAGCCACACCAGCCATTTTGAGTTTACAATGCGTGCTATTTCTCTAATGTTCAGACTGCAATATTATGAATCAGATGATCCAACAAATTCTAAACGCTCTAGTCCATCTTATACCAATATTTATTAACGTGCGTGTTCGCAGTGTGAACCTTCTTGGCAAAACTGATGTAATATAATATGTATAGAACGCAACTTTATATACTAATACTAATGCGCAAATGCGAAAACGTTTAATTCCCAAAACTTTATATACTATTGATGTTTAGCATAGTAAACTTCTGGTTTAGTATGGCGTTGACGGTTACTTGCAAGTGACCCGACAATACAAAGTGCTACTTACGACGTATACGAAAACGGGGACACGCGCGCAATTAGTGGATTCAAATTGACCCCCTGAAATTTTGAACTTTTTACATCCTGCTTGGGCCCAACCAACTAATCCCGAACATTTTCATAATGGACGACTCTGAACTCCAAGCTATAAGACAGGCAAGATTACGAGAATTGCAAGCACAAGCAACACAAGTAAGTAAGGATACGAGTAGATTAGTGTAAGGATCAGACGGAAAGAAAGACGAGAATGAAGAGAAATTACTATATAGACGTATGGGGACATTCTTAGACGATAAAGATACAATTCTCACCAAGAAATATTGTTAAAAACTGTCATAACGTGTTTGTTAATAGGGCGGTGGATCAAAATCATCTGCGGAGGATGCTGAAAAGAAACGGTAATTTCCAGGGGTTTCGATAATGTTTATAGAAGACGCTGATATAACAAGAACTGGAATGATAGTTTACTTTATCAATTTATACTGAAGAAGTAAATCATGGAATATCTTAATTGAATTCTAGTGAAATGGAAGAGACGAGGCAGACAATGGTATGCATTTGAATCAGTTGAAAGACGTGGACAAATAATCTGATGAGTAGGTCCAAAACTATTAACAGAACAGTTCTAACAAATGATCGTTCCAACAGCTAGTTCAAATACTCGACAATGAAGCTCGAGAGCGACGTAAGTAACTGATATCATCGTAATTACTGCTTGCAATCCATTCTCTTGTCGCTTTTTGTGGGTGGTTTCTCTAATCTTTCTCGTTTTGTTCAAAGTTGCCCGAATCTCTATGGTAAAAGCGGACAAAGCTCGCGGAGTTGAGGATTTACTCCTGCGCATGGCTCAGACTGGCCAATTACGAGGGAAAGTCAGCGAGTCGCAGCTAATTGATTTACTGGAACAGATCAATCAACAGGCTAAGCCGGAGACAAGGATCGTGGTATGTATGGGATCCTGGGAGACTACTGAGCATCGATGAGAATGAAAAGAGGAAATGGAGATAAACGCTAGACTTAATAAGAGTGATTGGCATCGTGC